TGAATCAAAGGCGGGAGCGTACGAGAAGCGAGGAAAAATAGGTTTGACTGTGTATAGAACGTATTATATCAAAAGAAAGAAGAGAGAAAGTTGTGTACACCGTTAACAAGGGAACGCCCGTATGAATCGAGGGAAAGATCGTCGGAAGTAGAATCTTGTATGCGCTTGTATCGGCTTTCTTCGATAGTGAAAGGGAGTAGTTTTTTTTCTTTTTTTTTTCTTTTTTTTTCTTCAGATACGGATCCCATCGATTTCTCGTAGGAGGGAGCCACGAAAGCGTGCCACGTCTTTTAAATTGTTGCTGGGGAAAAAAGAGAAGCAAGGCTATGTGAAGATCGTGAAGATTCGTTGTTAGAAACTGGTCTCGAAAACTTTGTCGGATCGTATTTCGCGAATTGATCTTCGTGGTTGAAGAGATTGTTGATCGATTGGAAATTGAACGATCGAAATTCATCGAAGGATTTCATTGCTAGGTTAGGTTTCGTATACGATATATCAATTTCATATCTGGTAAAATGATTGCTAGGAATTTTAACGAATTAGATTAGATTGCGCGAAAACAAGCTAGTTGAGAACATGGCATTAGATTATTCATCTTTGAGAATTGCACGCTATGAAATTGCAGTGAAATTTCTTTTTGAACGTATCGAAAACTATTTCCACGCAAAAATATATCCCGAGTATAACGTTCTTTATAATAAATCTGAAAATAGAAGTTTTGCTTATTTTTTTTGCTTGAAAATTCTGCCCACGCGACACGAGAAAGCTTCTATTTCCTCTTCCTCTTCGGAGCAATTGTTTCGAAATCTTATCGCAGAAAAGAAAAACGAACGGATGCATTTATAATAAATAACCGCGTTGCTTCGAAATACTCGCACGAGAAGACACGTTTAAGGTTCGCATAATAGCAACTGCGCTGATTTTACGACATTCGCTCGGTACGATGACCGAAATTTCGATCAGGAACCGTCATGGGGATCCGTTTCGCATAATGCCATTGCGCAACGTGAATCGGCTTGTCTCCCACATACACGGTGTAAAATATATTTGCGCACTGTTTCTCTTCTATAATTTTCTTCAATAATATTAATTTGAAAAACGATCGGTCAAATTTAATTTTATGTTATTTTAACTCAATTATTATATATAGGGTGCTTGCTAGTAGTACAAGCTGTGTAAATGAGTAAATCGAAAACATGGAGTAAGGATTTTTCGTTTGGAGGCTTCGTTTTCATTTCGAGGAAATGAAGTTTGAAAGTTCTTTGGATTTTTTTTTTTTTACAGGATTAAGCGTTCAAGAATATCTGGAAGAAAAAATTATAGCCAGAGATTTGATCGAGGAATTCGATCGAAAAGATTCATTAGTTTTCGAGCCACAATTTGTTCATAATATTTTCGAAATAATACTCGAAAAAGGAGAAAAAAGAAAACGAAGCCTCCAAACGAAAAAGCCTCCTTACTCTATATATTTTCCATTTATTTTTTCCAGTTGTACTATTCGAAACACTCTATACAACAACAAAATTAACGTTAATCATTTTGATATTTTCTCGACACGAAAATATTTTTTTTTTCCTTTTAAATTTTGAAAACACGCGAAAATACTGATCCCACCGTGTATACATAGGATTTCACAGCCCGTTTCCATTGTGAGAATGACGAAGAAAGCAGAAAGACCACGACCCGTGTCCGGCACGCGATCTTCCGCGATGAGAATGTACAATGTAATGTAATCGGAATGATGTCAGTAGTACGTTCTTTCGGCAAGATTCTTTTCGAACGGAAGAAAGTCGGCGACTCGAGATAGATCGAGATCCGTGTGATCTCTCTTTTGATTCTAACCTCGTGTCGAAACTCTTATCCCCCTCCCTATTTTTTTCCAACCATGATGATTGCAAGCAACCACCATTTCAGCAATATGCGGCATCGTTAAGCCGTAAAATAGAAACGAAACTCTCCATGATTATGGTCAGCGCCAAATTGGCCTTTATTTCGTCAAACTGTTCCTCCATTAATTGTGATTCGATTATTTTTACAAAAATTTGTTTTTTCACTCGATGCACGATTAATAATAAACGAATGGCAATTACAACAGTTGGATAAAACGCAAGGTTTTAATTCAAGAAAATAGGAGAAGTGGAGAAGGAAGGAATAGCAATATGTTTAATCGCAAAACGAAAGGATGAATGACGAAATGTTTGCTCGCCGAGGATTTCCACTCATTTCGAAAACATTTCGAGTGAAAGATACACTGTGATAATTATTAGAAACCATCCGTTTTCAGAATTGTTCACAGTTCGTTAGCTGCAGTTGCACTCTGAATATCTCGACACGCAATGTAACAATATCAACGAGGATGATGATCCTTCTAGTGCAACGAGCTTTTCTTTCTTTTTTATTTTCGCCAATCGTTTTACGATTGTGTAATTGCTATTCGTTAAAAAATATTATCGCGTTGGAAAATATATTTATGTAATTGATTTCCCGAGATCTAGATCGGGGAAAAAACTGGAATATGCTCGAATATAAACGAACAGTTGCGCGAACATTACGCGAACGTTACGAGTCTACACAAAAATGCGAATCACGTAAAATACGTTTTGGTGGAAAATCAAAAAGAGATCGCGACGGTATAATCTCGTATTCGCAAATCGTCTTGCGACAAAGGGAAACGTGCAAACTGTTTGCGTTGCCGAAATTGAATATCGATTCTTTTCATTCTATCCTATACCCCGTAAAAGCAAAAGTCTTAATCTAAATCTTTATTAGTAAAAGTGTTATATGTTTTCGTCTACATTTCCTTTCTGTCTTTCGTATTCGATTCCATTTTCTTTTATTTTGTGAACACGCAGATATTAAAGGTTATTATAGGTGTATAATTAAAAATTCTGCATATTCGAAATTTGAGAACGTTCGATGAAGATTTAAACGTATTCGTAATAGCAACGTGCGAGTGTAGCCTGCCACGTTTTGTACTTTTCGAGTTCGCAGTTGGAAGGACGACTACATTCACCGATTAATTTTACTGTTGCAGACCTAGATAAAGTTCCTACGTAGACCGCCTCGCACACTCCTCAATTGGAAACTTTGAAAATACACGTCGAAAGATTTAATTAATCGCGAAATGTTTCGAAATTCGAAAAATTATTATTGCAAATATATATTTGTAAAGGGGGGGAATTTCTTGTTGCAAAGTTTTATTGGCGGATTTTACAGATGCGTTTGAATTTAAACTTTCTCATCGATCATAAAAATTACGGTTGTCCTACTTTGTGAAAAAAATGTATTTTTTTTTTTTTTTAAATAAAGTAGCGTAATTGTATCCTTTCTATCGAAACAATCCATTTTCATCCATAAAAATCTCGAGTATATCGATCACGAAGTTAACGATAATTTACAAGTTTCGATAAATTTTTTCCTTTTCTCTTAATTTCTGCAATTAGAAAATTTCTCTTCGAATTATTATATAAATTCCATTAATGTCGCGAAAGTATTTTCTTTCCCCTCTTCTTTTATCTCCCGTTTGCGGTTTTATTAATAGTTATACCAATTGAATCGTGGCTAACTGTTTGTCATAAAACACTTCAGTTTCTTGAGTTCCTGCTGATGATCGCCAAGACTTGCGGTTATATTTTTTACCCTCTTTTCATCCGAGCATAAAATTCCGATCATTCCAATTTACGATCACTATCCCTAGCTGCCATCGAGGATGGCGAGAAACGAAAACGATCAGATTCCGCCTCGAACGTTATTTTCTTTCAATGAAAATAATTTATCTCGATTCAATTCACCTCGTCTTTCCATAATGCGTGCATATTTTTCGAATCGTTACAAATAATCTATTTTTTTAATTATTCGTAAAATGAAAGAAACACGAGAGAGGATTAAAAATGCAACGGTTTGAACTGTAGAAGAGTAGAACGTGTAAACATTATAAACGCTTCAATCTTTACCACACGCCGGTGCGTGCAGAAATCTATTCAATCATACTGCGCATGCTGACAAATGATGTTACTACTCGTTCACGGCCGTTCGTGCGCGGAATACCATTCACAAGTGTTTGGCCAACGCTTGTATTCGCATATCGTTCGTTGACGTTCATTTGCTATATTACTGCTCGAACGATCGAGAACGGAAAATAATAATTTTGAAGTATGACTTTCTCCTTTCTAATCAAAGTTAAGTATTATTGTTCGTTTAAGTATCTACTATCGCGGAAGGAATGCGCGTCTGATTGATTAATTTGAAAGAAAATGCCTATTTTCACACGCATTTTTGTCTCTACCACGTATACTAAACCAAAACGACGAACCGTATCTAAACCTCGATGCATTAACTATAGAATCTAGAAAATTCTAACGTATCGATATAATACAAAAATTATTTTATTTCTCATAACAATATGTAGGCTAATATAACTTCGTATTCGAGCAATTATGATTAATATTTGTACTAATAAGCTGGACGGTTGAAATATGAAATGAAAATAATTTTTACGATTTCAAGCATACCACGTTACTGTATGGTAGTGTATGGTGTCAGGTGTCAGTAACAACAAACCGTTTGAAGTGGAGATAAGCGGTCCTAGCGAAACACCCCTCTTGCCCCTGTGCCGTCCCGCGAGACTTTTTTCCACCAGCATATGCTCACACAAGTACACGCGCACAACAGTGAGAGTAATAAAAAAAAAAAAAACCAATAATATATTCGTGGAATAATTTTAGAGAGTTCCGGAGGCAAAACAAAAGTTTGATGTAAGAAAATTTCGGTTAATTTCGTTTATTTAATTAAGTTACAAACAATTGGCCAAGTAAGACGATAAAATACAATCTCGCTCTGGGAATTTACATTCTATTTCCGCTTCGTCTAACGCGAATTTAAATTGTTTCGTAACTCAGTCAACGTTTATGTATACCAACCAACTTTTGCATTCGATTGATCCAAAGAAATAAATTAATATCCCCCGCCCGTACACGTATATCGCATTTTTACGATTTCAGACGGTGCACAGGCGTCTTACGCTGACGATATCGGTCTGTTTGATCCTATCGATGAAATTTGGCACGGCACGAGGGGAAAGATGGTCGCGACAGATCTCGAATAGCGAATGGATACCATTGGCGAATCCTAGGGCGGTGCAAACTCAAGTCGAGCAAAACGGGCCGTCCGCTGCACGTTTGGCGAGCGGAACCGCGCACTTGCCTCAGCTTCCGCAACTCTCTCTACCGCCAGCTCTTCAACAACAGTACCAAGAACAATTGTTGCAACTGCAGAAGACTCAGGAAAATATACAAAAGCTGTTGCTACTTCAACAACAGCTTAGAGCTCAACAGCAACTTCTTCAGGTAAAATATTTTTTTACTCCCATTTTTAACAATTAAAACTCCAATGGATACGAAAGAATCATCTCTCAAATGTTAATTTGTATCTTTTCAAAGATATCGAAATTCGAGCTTACAAAAGTGTTTGTTTCCTCAGTCTCAAACGTTCGTACCAAGCGGGTTCAGCAATGCGGACGAGGACAAGCATCAAGTCAGATTGGGAGACTCGCAGGATCTTGCTCCCGAAGATCTGGTGCCACCTCTTCCCTTAACCGAATCGTTGCCGTCGGTTTTTCCGCCGCAAAACTTTCTCCCCCAACGACCCAACCCAGCCACGAAACAGGACACGAGTCTAGCTGAGGAATTGGCTAATTTGCCCGGGCAGGATTTCAAGAACGATCAGTTGTTGCAACAAAGGCCCAACCTAGGAAATGTTGGACAAATCGAGGAGAACCAAAGGCAAGGCGCGAAACAGATAAAGGAATCAAGCCAAGTCGGCTTGGTGTCTCAAAGCGAGGGGGGCCAAGACGAGGACGAAGAGGTTTGTACTCTTGTTGAGTATGTTAGTTCTATGAGTTTTCTGCCCTTCTTATCTCGCGACACTGCCAAGGAAATTCTTAGAATCAGGAATTATGCCGCTCACAGAGTTCGCTGTTCGAGTGTTATAATAATTCTTCTCAATTCTTGATTGCCATGAAAATGTTTCAATCGCCAAAAAAATATACAATACTTGTTCATTTTGTCCCAATATATGCCTTTTCGATTATTTTTAGGTGCAATTAGTTTACGTGCCGGCGGAAACTTTGGCGCAACGAGGCCAGGCCAAGAGGGGGCGTGGAAGGAAGCAGTATCATCCACTGCGTCAGCAGCCCCAACAGCAGAGCCAAGGGGTGGACGCGATAGGACACGAGCAGAACGCGTTTGCCCGTCAAATATTGCAACAGATCCAGATGGAGCGGGAGGAGAAGGCCCAATTTTTGAAAGAGGAACGGATGAAGGAGATCGCGAGATTGAACGAGGAGCAAAGGGCGTTGGAGCGAAAGGCGCGCCTTCAACAGGAGGCGCTGCAAAGGGAGCAAGAGTTGCAGAGGCAACGGGAGGCGGAGAAGAAGAAGAAAGAGTTGGAGAGGCTGGAAGAGTTGGCGAAGCAACGGGAGCTGGAGAGGATCCGGGAGGCGAGGGAGAAGCAGCGTTGGAAGAGCTGGAGAGAAGGAGATTGGCGGAGGTGCGGGCGAAAGAAGAGAAAAGGCGGGCCGAGGAAGCGAGCAGGCAGAGGGAAGCGGAAAGATTGGCCGCTTTGGAGAGGCAGAAGGAGCTGGAGAACGTGGAACAGCCTGAGAATCAAGCTCAGGCTCTTCCTTTAATCCGAAACCAAAGCCAGCATCGTCAACAATTGTCGGGAACGCCTAAACAGGGAAAAAGTAAGCTCAGGGGGAGGCAAAGGCAGAGGCCTAATAATTTCCAGGATCAGCAGAGTTACAGAGAAGCTAGCACAACTCCATCCCCTAATCAACCCCCTCTCTCGGTATACATGGGAAGTCCCAGCTCGAAGACAGCCAACGTGAAAGTTTCCGACGTGTTGAGGATATTGAAGGACGCGAAGACGATAGCTGTTCTGGACACGGTTGGCCCGGATACGCCTCAAGTATTCGTGGGCCCAACCAGTTTAGACCCCCCACCGGGTTACGCCAAGTTCGATCTTCCCTACCTGTCCTCCATCGATCACAATCGCGTGGAGAGAAGGGTCGACAAGTTGCCTTTCTTCGTCGCGCCGCTCAGCTTCGAGCCCCCTGCAGGATATTCCAAAATCCCTTTCCCCGCGCCACATATAGGATCGGTGGTGGTGAACACGTTGGACAATTCCTTGGATCCCACCACGAAAGGTAGCGACGATCCCAACCCAAGCCCGACCCCTCTTATAGAGCCCAATTCCTATTTGGACGGTTTGGACCCCGTCTCCGACTCCACCACTCCCTCGTACGAGCCTCAGACCACTCAGATAACTTATCCTGAACCGTCCAACACTCCCAAATACGAGCAGACGTATTCGACGCCATCCGCCGGATATTCGTCCGGGTCCAGATTCAGGTTCAGGCAATTTTACGGTGACGGTAAACCTGCTTCCGTGATCGGCACTTCTTACTACGACGAGCAGAAAACCGCGACGAGGAAGGACAAGTATTACGTCGACGAAGGTTCGAGAACTACGGAGATCCCCGCGCAAAACGTTGGCAACGTTGATGCGTCGGTGAGTCGCGCGGAAGAAGTTTCGTATTCCACGACGCCCGCTTTCAAAGAGGGAACAATGATCGGTCACCAAGACCCGTCGGATCAATTGGCGTTAATTAACGAACGATTGGCCCAGCAGAGGGAGAAATACAACAGTGGTGGTGGACAGTACAAGGTCTCTGGCGGGCAGGCAGGTAATTTCGACGGTGAAATCGGTGGTAGCGGTGGCGTTAACGACGTTAGAGATTCCGTTGGGCCAACGCAGTATAGCTTGCCAGCCGAGCTGCCCGCGATCTCCCCGCACCTCCCTGGTCTGGTCAATTCTTTGCTGGATAAGAACGAGGCGAAACTTCACACCACGACCACTACTACCAGCACGACGACAACCACCACCACTACGACTCAACGTATTCCCACGACCACTTACAGGCCTCGAAGTAGACAGAGGTAGGTAGGCGTTGCGCGCGGTGATTGGTTGATTTTTGAACGAGGAGGAGGAGGAGGAAGAGAGAAATTCGGTTGTTAATTTTTTTTAGAAGCAGATTAGTTTCCACGAGGCCAAGAACGACGACCGAAACGACTCCATCGAGCAGAACGAGCGTAGATAGAAATCGAAGACCGTACAACAACAGATCCAGATCTAGATTCACGACCACCACCGAGGAGTATCACGAATCCGCTTACGAGCCAACTAGATCCAAAATTTCAGAGACTACGATGAGATATAACGGGGAGCATAGGAGGCCGACCAGTAGAACGCACAAATACAGGAATCGAGATAAGATTAGCCAGCAATCCGAGGTACGTGCATCTTGTGAATTTATGATTCTCTATAAATTGTTTGGTTTTAACTGTAGTTTAGAATTATAAATCAATCAAAATATTCGATAATATCGGTATTACGTCAAAAACATCGTTGCGATATTCTCGAAAATAGTAACTGTCGAGCGGAAATAAAATATTATTGAAACTTCCATTTCGAATACGTATTTATTTATACGTACACGATTTACATATCGAAACACACTTCGTGCAAATAGGTTCAGAACAAACAGACGCAGCAATCGTACGACACCATATCCCACAGCGACTCGAATCCCCCGACATCGAATGCTTTCCTCCAGCAGACGGGACCAGACTCGAGTAATCTTCGTCACTTCGATTCCTCGTCGAATCTGAACGACTACACCCCGGAGAATTATCCGTCCACCACCGTCAGCACCACCGAGAATTATCCATCTTTCCACGACGTCACGGTGAATCACGGTTCCGCTCTAATCTCGGAAGATTATTCAAGAAGTCAAAGTTATCCTCAAACGATTCAAGAAGATTACCGATCTACCGTGGAACAACAGGTTGGCATCGAGAAGAGTCCAGTGAATGGATTTAATTATCAAGCTCAAAGCGGAGAGCCGTTGGATCAAAGATTGCTTCAGAGAACGAAGGATTATCAGTTGGATGGGAGGGTGGAGAACGGCGACTACGAGGTGTCCACCACCGTTGATCCAATAAAATTGAGAGCATCGGAAGAGGAACAACGTTACCCGTCTGTCTACGAGGTGAACGTACCGCAGACGCAGCCAGAATACAGTTTAACTGGACAAGATAATCTGCATCACGCGGATTCGAACGAGAAGATTCAAACCGGTGTTGTCGATAATAGTCCTAACGAGCAGCCGATATTTATCCCGTTGCCGGAGAATAAGCAAGAGGATTACGAGTTGTCGCTCTCCTCCACGGAACTTCCATTGCTAGACGTAAGGCGATTCACACAGAGTTTGAAAACTTCTCGTAAGAGATTGTAAAAAAGAAAAATTAATTCCGATTTCAGATAACAACCGACACACCGACGACGAGCACGACTCCTGTGATAATTCGACAACGAGTACGAGGACGTATAGGGACTCGTTTGCACGAGCCTTCGGTTCAGACTCGGAACAGAGGTTCGCAGGACGAGTATGTCCGTTTCAACGTGGTAAACGATTCCTCTCGAACGATATCGAGCAGGCAGAGGAGCAGATCGAGATCTCGTACACCGAGTCACGGATCACAGGTTCAGACCGATGGTAACGAGTACATTAAGATCCACGCGTTGCAACAGCAAAGGCTAGTCGCCACAACAACACCACCGCCATCTACCACGACCACTATGGTCAGCTCAACGGAAGAGGACATCGATTACGGATTTATAAGACCACCGAATTTCCGACCTGTACATCCAGTGGACAATAAATTCCAGCAACCGATCACGTATCGACCTCATTTTTCAGAGGTGGGTGACTTTGAAAAAAAAAAAAAGATTTTTTAAACGAGGAAGTCGTTTATTATAAAAGAAATTTAACCATCGATTGTCACGGAACGAAAGAAAATTCTCTGATTTTCAGGTGCCTCAGCAATCATTGCTACCAAACGAGGACGAAACCGCATTGGAATCGAGTCCCCCGCAATCACAGCTGTTGAAAAATCGTCAAAAGTATCAACCAATTCCCAATCGTCGTCCATCGACAAAAGCGACAACCGTGCCGCCATCTACAACGACTATGGAAACCGTCACTACTACCGAAAAAATACCTGTTGCCACGGTGCTTCCTGACGACATGATATACACGGTGAAATCGAAGTCTCGGCCGGACGAAGCGAAAGAGATCAGAGTGAGAGGTAGAATCCGTCGACCCGGTAGAAAACGCGTAACCACCACGAGCACAACCGAATCCGTGTTGGAGGCGCATAACGAGCTGCCATTGGACGAAAATTATCCGCCGATACGACCACAAGCCGTAACCACAGAGCACCAACAGACGGTGTACAACGATAATTACAATAACAACGGAGGATTCTCCGATGATGCGCGTAATCCAACTGGACAACAATTCTACGAGACGTCCAGCGAGAACGTGAGTACAGTTGAAGATCAGGTTATGAATCAAAGGAGCAATATTTAATGAGAATGTTATAACTTCGAGTGAAGTTTTTTAAAAGTTAGAATGCGAATCAAAAGGATTTATAAGATATATATATATATGAAGCATTTTAAGTTAAAAACGAGCTTCGTGTACATTTATTACGTATATAATGGAAATTTTGATTAATCATGCACGTTCGATTCATTTTTTATCGATGTAAATATAAATTTTTATCCCGAAAGATATAAAATATTTCGGATCGTTGCTTTCAAATTCATACTTGTCATGAATACGCTTGTCTCGACACCCAGAACATGTTTACTTTAACACTTGACTGATTTTACGACCCTATTATATCCGTTCCACTTTGTATATACTGTATCGAACAATAGTTAGGTGGATTAGAAGGGACCTTAACGAGGGTCGATCTGAGGTATGATTAGAAATTCGAGCACAGTTTGTACTGGTATTCGTACACACAGTCTCTTGTTTCTGACCTATTCTTGCTCCAATTCCTTGCTTCGACCAGTTCTTTTATCGGCTATGGTTTGTTTACGAGTTGTTATAAAATAATTATATTTTTCGATATGAAAATTTTATCCTTACTTTTTTCAGGAATAAAAATTTTGAAAATTAACGGACGATATATTTATTATATTTTTCTTTCCAATCAATCTGATCTGATCTTTTTTAATTTAAATCTTGGAATTTTACTGCAAATTCTAGCATTGTAACTCTCGTTAAAAACTCTACTTCTAAAATCTACTTCTCCCTCGGTACACAGTTCTTGCCCTTAAAGAAAACTCGTTCCTTTCAAATATATACAATGGTGACAGCAGACAAGTTTACGCTCCTAAGAGAAGACTGCGCAACGATCGATTTAGGTGGAAAAAAATTAAAAATACTTTCTTTCAAGACAAGAAAGAAAAAAATAGTAAAAAATTGGGAAACCAGTTCTATTGCGATCAATCACAGCAGATCAATGTACTTAAAACTTTCTAATTTTAAAATTACATAATGAAAGACAAATAATAAAACGCACGAATATTAATCGTAACATCCCTTCTTTCTTCTAGCGCACAAAATTTCCCATCTAGCGATTTCAATTCAACAAATCTCTCGTAATTCGAAATACAAAACAACGTTAAAGCTTCTCTCGAATTCCAGTATCCGCCAGAATTCATGCTGAACTTCGGCAACTACCCGTCCCAACCGGTTCAACGTGGTGACGAATACGATGAGACGCAGTTAGCCGGCGACGCGGCAACGAAATACGGCCAAGCTTCAAGGAGCTCGTCGACGATCGACAATCATCGGACAACGGCGGACATCTACGGCGCGGAGAGCCAGTGGTCCACGAAACTGACGAGGACCTCGTTCCAGCCGAGTTTCTCGGTGAATCAGGTGACGAGTTCGAAGGGGAGCGAAACGTGGCCCCACGACCCCACGTCGAAAAACGCCGATCTACCGGAGATAATCACGGCTCCGCCGGAAGTGTCGTCCGTCACGCTGGTCGTCTCCTCGGACGACAAGAGGACGAAGAAAAAGGAGGAGGAGGAGGAGGAGGAGGACGAGTCGACGTTGATGGGGACCATGATATTCGGTATGAAAACGCAGGAGCACACGGAGAGGAACACGGCGACCACCGATGCTGCGATCAATGAAAAAAGAACGGAAGCGAGGTTGACGGCAAAGAGTCGTCTCGGCCGATGGGCGACGAGGTGGAGAGCTCTACGAAGCAATTGATGATGGATTTGGAGAAGATTGGAAGGAAGGGTGACAATTCCACAGGCGTGAAGAAGGTAATTATATAGAATATACGTGATGATAACTGGATGGAAGTGAACATGCTTTTATTTATTTATTTATTTATTTGGGTAAGGTAATTTTTCTGAAGACGGTTTATAGGTATGAGGAGTTATCGGAGATCGTTAAAGGTAGGGAGAAGGGAAGTTTAATATTAGTGTGAGAGGACGGGGATATTAATATCGGTATGAGCAGTTGCGTCTTTTGTTAAACGAAGGGTATTGCGGTATTATTTTTGCTTTTACTAAGATCGTGCTATTTATTTAGAAACCAAAAAAAAAAAAACGATGCAATCATCTTCACCAATTTTCGATCCGTCGCACGCACTGTATAGAAAATTCTAATCTGCTCTCGAATAATAAAAAGAAACGGGTAAAACGATCGTTCCCTTCGTTCCAGATTTCACGAAGGAGAAAAGTGCGCGTTCGAGTGAGGCCGGCCGCCGACGATTTTGTCACAGCCGAGTCCCAACACTTCAACTCGGCTTTGAACGGCTTGTTTCGAGATCAGTACAAGTACAACCCTGTCCGTCAATCGAAACCTTCCGTGTCTTCCTTCGCCTCGCCGGAGAAATCGATCGCACAAGATCTCATAACCGACATTCTGAAGAACGACGACGAGGTTTCGACCGAGTGGACCACGGCCATCACCACCACCCCTCCCTCGATCGAAACGACAGAGATTCAGATCACCACGATTCCAACCGCTTCCAAAACCGAGGAGACAACGATCGCGGAAACTACTTTCGATGATTTATTCGTAAAATTGACGAAAAAGGATACGGCGAAGATAATGGAGGAGAAGAAGGAGAGGAGGAAGGAGAACGTCGAGGGAGAAATGGAAGAAGATACGTGGGAATCGTCGAAGAAATGGAAGAGCAACGTTGAAAACACTGTTAATTTCGGTAATTACATCGCTGGTAAATATAAAAGCAAAGACGAGGATGCGAACGATATCGAATTGTCTCGAAGGGTTGAGAAATTGAGCGTTGATGAAAAAGAGGCGAAAAGAAAGAACGATATAATAGAATCCGTGAATGAGACCGACGGGGAGGAGGAAGGCCGGACACGAGAGTCGTTGAGGCTGCAAAACGAGAATTTCAATCATCACCCCAAGAACCATAGAGTTAAATGGAGCGAGGTAAGGTATCCGTCCGCCTTCGAGCGGTCGAAACCTTCCAACTGGAAAGCTTACGATTCTGGGAAGATAAGTGGAAAATCCGGAACAACGTCCATCCCAGGATTGGTGACGAAGAACGAGGGGGACACAAGCGTGAAGACGCTGTCCGACTACGTCCAAGCGATCTTCGATACGATGAAGAGCGCCGAAGAGGAGACGAACACGAACATGGAGAATCTGGACATGGAAATCACCACCACCGCCCTTCCTCCTTCCAACACCTTGCACCTCCCGGACCGGTCGAGCGAAGAGAAGTCAACGAAGATGAGGGACGACGACGAGACGATGACTACTCGAATGATCCTCGAGGATGGAAACGAGGCGACCGAGTCCACTGCGAGCACCACCGATGTGGAGGAGCACGCAACCACGATCTTGGGACGAATCGACGCGAACGCAACCACGTCGGCCTTCGAGGATAATTCGGCCCCCTCGACTCCTTTGCCCGCGACTTCGAGCAACGCCACTTTGTCGAGCAATTCGACGGAATCGATATTGGGCAAGGTTCTACGTACCTCGACGACCACCAAGGTCTCCCATATGACGGAGATTTGTTACAGGGGCCGATGCGTGATGACAAGGCCAACTCGAGACGATCGATTCAGATGAAGGGAACGAAGATGGTTCTTTTCTTTGATAAAGATTTTCCATAAAATACGTGTCGTCGTTCTCTTCGATCTGAACCAATTATTTGTGTATATAGAAATTGTAGAGTGGGCCTCGTTCATCCGTGACTTTTATTTATTTTGTTAGAAGATATTTTTCTTTTCTAATTCTTCTCTGAAAGAGGGAAATTTTTAAGACGTTGTTTTCAAACGAGAATTTTGAAGTTTAAGCAATGGAGAGATATTTATTCCATCGATCCGTGTGAATTACATTAACGAATTAATAGTGTTCGAGTGGTAAGAAAAAGTAGTAGTAGCGTACTTAACGTTGATAAGAACGATCAATCATGATCGACGAATTAATCGTGATGCTTGTTGTTACGAAAAGGGCGCCAAAGGATTTTCTCACTCCTTTGGCTCGGTTCGAACGAACAGAACCAGAGGCCTACTTTTAGCGTTTCGATCACTTTAAAACGGAGGAAAAAGAAAAAAAAGAACAGAGAAATGATAGAAATGAAATGTGCATTTAACTTAATTCTTCTGCCAGCCGTTGGTATACGTGTAAGTTAAGCGTTTAAGTATTTTAATAAAACACACGATAAAAGTAAAAAGTCTCGTCTCACACGAAACCCAACAAGTTCCTCGACTTCTTGCGGTTGAATTAAACCGCAGTAACGACCATATTTATAAATCGTTGGAAACTCTCGAGATCTGAGTAAAATTAGTCCTCGTTTCGTTATACACATTATCCACATTATATACTTATTTCAATACTTATAAGAAAAGATTATATATTTTAGCCTCAAAGGCTAAAGATGACTCGTTTAATCTTCTACGTATATATTGTGATTAATTTAAATTTAAAAATTGGAAAATTTTTGAAAAATTAACAAGATAAACGAAGAATTACGAAGATTGATAAAAAAACATCTCTTTCAATTTTTTTTTTTTTTTCATAGAAAAATCTATTAAAATATATGCGGGGAAATGTAAAGAAGAATAGGTTCAAAATTTAATTAAAAAATTCATATTTTTTTCAATAAATAATTACTTCACATGAGAACTATACGACGAACAATAATATTTTTCAAAATTCTTTTTCTTTTGTACAAAAATTCAAAATCTCTCAATTTTAATCAAATCCACAATCGAACGCAGAAAGATAATTAAAATATAAAAATTAATCAAAAATTCAATAGTTATATTACGTAGATACATAACGTAGAAGATAAGATAAGATAAAATTTAATTCTGAGTGAAAGCATGAAAAAAAAAAAAGATGTCTGAGAAATCGTTGTTGCAGCCAAAGAATTAAATCATTTGTTGGAAAACAGTGCCAAGAATAAACGTTTCTCTCATTGTAGTCACGCGAATTCAACAGCATGGCATTGGGAAACCATATACATTATCCTTTCAAAAGGATAGACAGACAATTTCTGAGCTGTTCTCGCCTCCTCCGTGTTAAATTGAACCAACAAATTGCCAGGACCAAAGTTTAATACAGTTCATTAGCCTGGTTATCTCTTTTAATTAACCTTCTATTGCTTTTCTTTGAAAAAATTCTAACAACGATTGAATTGGCCACAAGTTTAATCCTTTATCGATCCTCACTATGAAAATATTAATAATATTTTTATACCAATAATCCTTCATTGATAAATCCTAATCTGATTATTATTTAAAAAAGAAAAAAAAAGTTTAAAACGACGAGTTTAAAAGTGTTTGAATTTTTGTAAATATTTTAATATTATGTTTCTTTTTAACTCAGACTTATTAATTTAAAGACAATTTATGCAATTATATTAAAAATGATGATTATAATCAATAAATTTTGATTTATAGAATGATAATAATATATAATAATATAATATTATGTCATGCGAGATATAAGAAAAAAAATTCGACTGTAACAAATGATATTTGAAATTGTCGATACTACGGTAAAAATTAATCAAATTAATTCTTGTGACATATATTCGATCATCTTTAGAATTCTATCTCATCCCAGGCTTGTTTATCGATGCATTAACTTGCTCTTGAGAGCCATCATACTCGGCGGAGAAAATTATCAAAGCGTACCGGAAGTCACATTACGATCATTTTCCAATAGCTACGCTTTCCTATCTGCATTCAATTGAAGACCGTGTTATCGATTTCTGACGATATCTGTGCTGCGAGACCGACACTGTCACATTTGATAGTCATTTCGATTCCGGAAATAGGAAATAATCAACTCGACGATGTTTCGAAATAGATTGACGACGGTTTGAATTTAGAGCGTGTCCTTGACACCTGTGAAAAAGTCAATTTTCCACACCACGGATTTTAATTTCGCACTATGAACGATTTCACGAAAATCGAAACACAATATTGATGTTCGAATCTTAGAACGCGTGTCAAGTCATGATCAATCGATTTTTGATATTGATTATATTCATTATATTTTGTATTACAACATTATTTACTTAAAAATTAATTATTGGATTTTTTATTACTTAATATAAAGTAGAAAAAGATATTTTCTAATGAATTTTATTTTATTTGTTTGTTTTTTTTTTATAAATATTTTATAAGATTTCTTAAAATAAATCCTTATAAAATAACAGACTTGAACCAAATGTTCAGAACATATAGGAAAAAAGTAGTTTTGCACTAGGCGTGAATGTCAACCGAATCCTTAACCTAATTTTCATGTGGCAAAAATACTCGAGTTTCCGGTGGTGTCACATGGCGTGGAAAACGACAGGAAAAGGAAAAAAAAAAAGTAGCACGAATCGCAGTGAATATATACTTCAGCGAGGAATGGCGTAGCATCGGATCGATCGCGAGTCGTATCTGAAGTTCGCTACAAATAGCGGAAATATTTTCTTATTTCGAGAAAAAATGAATATTGGTTATAAATTATCGAGATTTATAATATCGAGGGCAATGTATATACGAATGAACTTGTACTTCAACTTCATGTAATCAATTCACTGAAGTGAATTTTCAATTTATTTCATTGTTTTTTTCAAGTAATATTTATTTACGTTTAATTATGAATTGATAAAAAGATTGATATATCGATATTTATTAAATCCTAAAACAAGCGATAAATATTTGTTCGTGAATTTTAAGAGTTTGAAAATATCTTGTGCTATAATAAATTTTTCTGAAAGAAATAAAATTATAATTTCATTTTAATATGCACGAGATGCAAAGTAATAAAACTCTTACTTATTGTTAAATGTTATAAGTTATCATTTAAATATTTTCAAAAAGATTCATAGAATTTATGATTGATTGATCGATCTTTTCATTAAATTTAGGATTTGAAAATCCACCAATAAAGCAATCGAATTGGTCAACAAACAATAATGATTTATCAGTTAGAAATAAAAAACCGCCAAGAAACTTAACCTAACTACAACACGTGATTTTTACCGTTGCGCCTCTTTAGACTTATCTATTTTATTTATAAATAAATTGAATTCAACTTACCACCACGATTGTAAATTCATGTTATTCCAATCAACTTCTTCGATCAATCACTTATACATTTCACATTTATCTTTTTATCAATGATTAAATAAACTTCACAATATTTAGTTATCACTAACGAAAAAGGATTGCAAATAAATTGAGAAAATTGTTCGATGACAATGAGACGCGAAAGTGGCGCCACGACGCGGCCAGCGCCACGAAACGCTGCAGCGGCGACGAAGGGCGAAGAGAGTTTGCGAACGAAGAGAAACCAGTAGAGGTTGCATAGAGGGAGCGAGTTCAGTTCAGGCGCAAAGGTCCTCGGTTAAGGACGCGACGGTCCTGTTAATCGGGACACTATGCCAGGCGGCGAGGGGTCCCCGATCAATCTCCTCGACCACCGTGCATCGACCACCTCCGGCGAGTGCGCGAACAGTGACGAAGATGAGAGGACGACGGACAACGTTTCCAGCACGATGACGACCGTCCTCGCGGGCGACGGTCTTAGACGGAGGAAGGTCATACATGCGGCCAAAGAAACTTTCGACAAGGGTAAGTCTACAATCCTTTCTTCTCTACGAAGTCATTTCAAAATTCGAATATCATTTTCCCATTCTATTTTCACTTTTCATCGAATAGAGATGATATGGTAGAATTTTAGCGTAACGTTAATAATATATTTATATAAACATCAATGGTCAGCTACGGTTAGTTGGTTTATATTTTCAGTGATAAACACAAATGTAACGAATCGAATAACCAGTAAAATCATATTACTTTAATTCGTTCGTATCATTCAACGACATCTATACACAAGACGTATCGATACACTGACCGTTATTCTTTTCCCTTACGAATGTACGTTTCAGTCAGAAAACATAAGAAAGTGTATTCGCTGTCCGCAGTGCGCGCAGCCACGGATGCTGTGTCGGTAGCGTTAGTGCGCGCGTCTCAACGCCGTTGTGAATACGTGAATATATATATATATATATATATATACATATACATATATATATATATATATGTGTGTGAAATAGATGGTTTAAGCGGTTGTATGTTGGAAGGTCGTTACGAAAACTCGTGCAATATCCTAACAAGCAAGGTGTGTTTCAAATCATCGTCAATGATCTTTGCGGTTGCTTATTTTCATCTAGAGATCGATTCACCGTCCGAAAATGGTTCGTACACACGCCCACTCGTTCGTCCCCTTCTTCTTTACCCGCGAATTCCCCCTAAATCCAGCTTATCCCCCATTTCCACTTGCACCCGGTTCGACTTGGATGCGTACGCATATCTTGGTTCGCGGTTCTTTCGCAACTGCGTTCTGAGCGTTGTGTTCTATGCCAATCGGCCCTCCTCGTGTCGACGCTTCGTGATTTCTGTCGTTTAGAACGGAGTGGGGGCTTGTAATCGCGTGTAGTCCATACGAGAGCGCATTGTCGCCTAAAGGTATTGCATTTTCGAGCAAATTTCAGCGATACCAATGTGGTTTCGATGGAATCCAGAGTTGCATGTCGTGTTCATTCTAGTGCTCGACAATGGTCGAGTTTCTTCACCCTTTGACCGACGAGATACGATCGGTCATGGCTTGACCTTTAATACATAAAAAATTCGCTTTATATGAAGATTAATTATCATACTTTTTCCTTTTTTTTTATTGCTAGAAATATCAAGTTGTCAAATTGTGAAAATGATTTTAACAATATTTTTAAAAAAAAAATTACATTCGTAATATTTCGAAAATCTTAATCGAATCGATAAATTTCAGAATAAAAAAAAAAAACATAGATTTTCAATCCTTGTAATTCTTGGCAAGATAATTTTTAATTTTCGCTTCAATAGAACTAATTAACGAGCATTATTAAAGATTAATTAGAATTAGAGCATGCTATGGAAATGTATATCTGCACAATTACTTTAATTCTCTAATTATGAATCGCGTGGAAGCAAGTAATTTTATAAATTTTATAAATTTTATAAATAACCACAAAAGACCTCGTTCGATCATGATAATCGTGCATTTCCGTTTATGATCGCGCTCTCGATACTAGTAATCCGACGAACACAATTTTATACTGCACCGATAATCTCCACGAACGAATCTATGTTTGATCCTAGCTGATGCTCGACTATCTCGCGCCACAATACGGCCATACTATTATTATTGCAATATGGTATTGTATACATTGAAGAGACAGCTAGTTGTCCGCTAAATGGAATTATGTGAGAAATATGATTTAATAGGATTTATTCGAATAACATGGTTGTTCCAAATTCTCATAATTCTTTGTTCTAATAAAATCATTTATAATCCATATTAATCGTCGAGGTTAAAATTCTATTGTTATTGTATTATTATATTTTTGAAGAAGATAAAATTTCAAGTTGACATAACGTGAATATGATTTTTTTTTAATAAAACCGGAGATTTTTTTCAATTTTATATCAGTTTCAGCGACAATGTGTAGTCTTTTAAGGGAACTATGCTTTTCAGGGACATCCATATACATATGTACAGGTTTCATTGAAATATTGGTGTGAATAGTGTCTGTATACATACTTGAGCGTGACGTAAAAGGGTGCTTTATCCCCTCCATTACCTGCCAAAATAAGGTGTATAGTTCAGAAATGACTCACATCGACTATAAATGAAATGAAGCATTTTTAAAAACGCTTCGGTGATTTTCTGCGTTCTTCAATTATCAATAAATTATTGCTTCGGCGTTAAATATCCTTTAAATTCCGTGCATTTGTTCTTTTTTTTTCTATCTCTTTTTAAACATTTCGATCTCTTTGAAATAATAAAATACTTCAATATTTTGTATCATTTAGCATTCCTTTTATCTAAATGAAAAGATATAACAGTATGAGAATAAGATAAAAATAAACATTCCATTGGAGAATCAAGATATGTATAAATATTTTTTCTAACCACATATAATTGACGACATATTTAAATTTTAAAATTATTCTCCTATTTTAAAGCGGAAGCTTATGTTTTTCTTTGTACTCTTGATATACATTTTTTTCTCTTTAGTATACTTTGTAAACGGAACAAATGTTTTGCATGGAAAAGGGAATCATTATACATTCTATAGGATAAAATAGTAATCGCATAAAATCGAGCTTTTGAGTTATTTTTATTTTTCTTACCCGTAAATAATAGTAGTTTTAAATAAAATTATTTAATTGCATTTAAACAAATTACACTTTCCCTTTTTCCTTTCAATACCTTTCGAGCGGAATACTCATTATTATTATTATTAAAAAGGAAGAATTAAGAAATTCTATTATGCAGAATTCTCTCTAAATAAAATTAACGTAAGTTAATTAATAGAAATCGAGGTGGACAGAATAGGATATTTAAGGGATACGAAGCCATACGGGAAAAGACACGTACGTACGCTGTTCGAGGAGCACGTGCCGTTGATACTTTTGTTCGAAACGCAAAGAAACGAGATGATCGATAAGGCAACCGTAAAGTATTACACGCTTTCCATCGATCTGTCATAAAAGACACGTAATGCAATGTATCAAATTTCGTAACTAATGAAATATATGACGTTTATAAAATTCTCTCTAAATATATTACGATCGAAGTGAATTTCACGATAAATATTTATAATTATAGAATATATTTCACATCAAGTTGAAGCAAAATTATCATCACTTACAAAAAAATGTTTCAAAGCATTTGATTGCTATTGTAATAAATACGATTTTGTATGACATTTTTTTGTATCAATAAAAATTGCAAATTTTCAAATCAGGTATATCATTTGTTGTACAATAGCAAATACATAATATCACGCAACATTTGGTCGATTTAATAGACTAGTATTACGGAAAAATTGTAGCATGTACGAGGTTCTGTTTGTTGGCTTTTCAAGAGTTTCATCTTTATTCATTTATTAAATTTATGCACAATTACAAGCGTTGAGATGACACGATCTTGCCGAAATTCAACACAGCATACGGATTAATTCTAGCGATACGCTAATATGTACGTGTGTAATTCAATATTTTAATTACGTTCGTTTATGGCGAATGAGGGAAACATTCGAACGTAATCTCTGCTTCTTATAATCGTGTATTTAGTAAGTGGGTCGAGTGTGTGTAATAAAGTGTTTGATACTCATCAAAGTTTTCTTCGACACGTGAACACACCATTAACACATTTCGCACCGTTTCTGCCAAGTCTTATCAAATTCTTTCTATTTCTTCTATATTTACAATTTTAAATTTCATTCCGCAATTTTTGCGATTAAAAAGTTGTGCGAAAAAAATATTACAAACGCAACTTTGTAAGTATGAATTTGTAAAGATCAGATTAAAGCGATAATAATACGTTATTACGAGATGAATTTTGTTCGGCATTCAGAAGAAACAAACATATTTAATAAAGAATCATCTTCGCACAATTGGTGTAACGAAATGTGTTAGCGGATATTACGTGTATATTGTTCTGTATTTTCGAAGGGCAAAAGAGAGGGACTACTTTCTCGCCACCTATCGGAAATTCGATGACCTACTATATGTGTATACATTGATCAATGTAATCTAATAATTTCGATAATTTCTGATTATGATTATGCGCTAATGAAACAGCATTTTCACTCTTCCATGTAAATAACTATATCGTTTTCATTTCAACGGGGTTATATTAATCCAACGTTTCCCTAGTTACGATTTTTCTTACGGTCAATTTTCAGGTTTGTCCGGTATTGATTTTATCGAGAGCGTCAGTATTTCTTTCCAAAGATTTCAGAAAAGATGTTCTTGAAAGAATAGAAAAGTCTTAATTGAGCACAAGTCTGGCGGAAGAAACAGGGGCAATCGAGTTAGGAGATTAAATTCAGCCTGTAGCGACATTACATCGGAAGTCTGTCGTTAAAAACAATTTTCCTCGAATAACTGGAAATCTTAAATGAAATAACTTTATTAATAAGAATATTTTATTCTTTTTATTCCAAGCACAAATATTGTAAACATGAAAGGAAGAACACGAATGAATTGAAAATTAAAAAATATGACAGAGATTAAAGTTAAAAGTATTTTTAACTGATCGTAATAAATTTTTAATTGTAATTAAGTAAAGTTGTTAAATCATTAAGTCAATTTGTATATCACGTTAAAAAAAGAGAGTTTCGATTCGATTCAAAATTAACGTCACAGACGTTGTTCTAACATGTTTCATCCGAGGAACGAAACAATAAAACAATAAAGATCGAATTCCCCAGATCGAAATCCCTCTCTTTCATTCTTGTGAGCTCGAGTATAACACTGTGAAGAGTGAGTGGAATGTTAAAAGAGGATAAAGGAAAACTCTTCGTGATCGCGTGGTGTAAACGTACAAAATGATGTTCAACCGAACGAAATAAAGTGAATTATTAAGCAAGCTTCGCTCGTTTGGAAAATACAGTTTTCCATGGGGATGAGTGATAAATGTGGAATCTCCAATCGAAGCATGGAGCGCAGTAGATGGGGCAAAACTCGATGGGAAACTTTATAGAGTCTAATTTCGTTCTTTTTTTTTTTTATTTTTTATTAAATTATTAAATAATGTAATACATAATGGGTAAAGCATAACTTTGTGTCATCAACACCAAGTCAACCCTGTACACCCACGTTACTTATAGGTCACATTTACAATGATGTTATTCATGCGTATGGAAACCTTTCATGCGTTTCACGCGACACCTCGTTCTCCTGGAACCGTATAAACATCGAATATAGATTATTTCTGACGTAAAATCGATATCTGGGCCATCAATGTCTTTTCTTTATCTTTCCATTCAAACAGCCACTCGTGAAATAATGATTGCTCGTACTTGAGATTCAATGTGATGGAAAGATGGTAAAGAAAGAGGATAGTTAATATAGGTCGATATTTAATATTACGATATTACGAAATTTTCAATCGTGTGTAATACATGGATCAAGATACGAAACGCGTTTACAGAGAACAAGAATTTATCTTAAGGCTCGAAAAATTAAAATTAGGAAAAACTTTTTCTAAATTCTAAAATTGCTACGAGTTATAAAATGCGTTACAAATGTGAAAATATCACATTTTCAAATGAAATTTTATTTTATCGCAATAGATTGTTAATTTTTGCATCCAATGAAGCAACAAATATCACGATCCAATTCCCCGATTCGTAACCGTTGACCAGAAAATTACCAACCGCAAAGTAGCGGTAAAACTTCCTTTATTGCCGTCCTAGCCGCGAGGAAGTTTGCTGCTCGCTTTATTAATATTTCGCGTCCTTGAAAATATTTCGGCAGAAAAAGGGAAGAGCGTGGTTATATGAACGTGAATATCATCTCGCTTCGAGCCATAAATCTTTCACATTTTTGTCAGTTGATCCCTCTCATTGTCTGATATCCTTCTGTATTGTTCGAGGATTTACCCCCTATGCATCTATATTCTCATTTGCTAACAATAACGTGTATATTAATATATGTATATCGATTAAAAAAAAATGATGGATTTCTTTCTTAATAAAGAAAATTATTTATTATTCTAATTGGGGGAAAAAAATTTGAACAACAACACATTCGTACAACAATGAAATTCGGATAAAATTTTTATTTAGAAAAAAAAAAATACTAATAAATTCACTCCTCGTCATGGTTCAAAATTCGAAAATTTCAAAAGAGCAAACTTTAATCAACTGGACAATGAGATTTTTCGTTTCATAAAAAAATGGGAGTAACATTTTTACATTTAAGAAGGAAGGCTTTCGAGACGAAGAAAGCCTTCATTAATGGCGCTGTAATACAATGATAGGACTAAATTTAATTTATCACAGTACAAAGAAAGTTCGTTAAGATATACTCTACGTGGCCGTATAATTTTTCCTCTCTCTCTCTC